GCGCTTCTGCTTGTCTCAGTCGATAAGCAACTGTGTGTTTCGCTGGATTGTGGTAGCTTAGCATGATGCCGAGGTACTTGGTCTGTTGCACGATTGGGATAGACAGAATTCTGCCCTGGGGTGTTGCCGTGACAAATGTCTTGACCCCCTTCACCGTTCGCGTCCGCGCCTTTAACCATTCCGCTGCCACTCGACCCTTGACTTGAATGAGGAGCGACGATTTCTGGACATTCACCTTCATGCCAAATGCTTCCAACACGTTGAAAATGGCATCCATGCATTGCAGCATAAAAGTTAAGTCCCGTTCGGAATGACACGTCCATTGCCCAAGAACATCATCTGCGAAGAGAGTCAATTGATCTCGAACCCACTCCTCCGGCACATGTTGCCCAATCATTGACATTACGTGGCTTGTGATGGCCACCCATAATGTGGGGGATAGTGTACAACCCTGCCTCAGTCCTCTTCCACAATGCACGGTCTCCGTGAGGTCGGCCACCTGTAGATGATACTGGATGGTATTGTGCCATTGAATGATCGTATTGATCAGCTCAGCTGGCATTCCTGTGCGGCAAAGTGCCTCGCTGAGTTTGGTTCTGTCCACTCTATCGAAAGCCTGGCTCATATCCAGGGCAAGTGTTGCTCCTCCAGTGCAATTCCCTCTCTTTTTACCCTGGCGCCTGGCCCGTAGCCCACCGTCATGATCAAGCAAGAGTTGTTTGACGCTGCGGCAATGGTGAACAGCACGTAGTATGGCAGCCTCCAGGAGTCGTCCTGGGGAGTACGCGTATTGTGGTTGGTAGTGGATGACAGACTGCACCCATGGTGCAGCGCGAATCTGCAGAGCCTTGGCTATGCATTTGCCTCCACAGTCCTGCAAGGCGATTGGCCGTAGGTTCCCCGGGGTACAGGGTGGTTTGGATGGCTTTGGCAACCACACAATCCATGCTCCCGTCCATAAGGTCGGCATGAGACCTTGCTCCAGGTTTCGTCGGTATGCCTGCAGTAGCGGGCCTGCCAAAAGATGTGACAAATACTTCCAGACAGCTGCTGGGGCGAGGTGCGCAGGTGCAGCCTTGGCCGGCTTAAGTAGCTGCAATGTGCATCGCAATTCGTGTTCCTCCAATCGTATCAGCGGATCTTTGTATGGAAGGGGCACATCTGCGGCCTTGGACAAAAACAACTCTTGGCAAAAAGTGGATAGAGATGAAAGCTCCTGCTCGTTGGTGAGCACATTGTGGTCATCTCCGCGTAGCTGCACGCGTCGTCTTTCCTGCTTGGGTGCAAGTCTGCGAATCACAGCGTACAGTCCTTTCTGGTCCCCTTTTGTCGCGGCTTCCTCCGCAAGTTGGATTTGGTCCAAGTAGAGGTCCCTGCGCCTTCTTCGACCATCTTTCCTGAACTTGGAGTGCAACTGCTGGAAACGACATTGGTGACGCCAGGCCCTAAAAAGATACTGCATGTGGTCAGTCATCTGATACCATGTGGCCTGTTTGCGTGCCGCTCTTCTTTCTCGCCACATTTGTGCAACTGTTACCTTGGATTCCGTCATCTGCCACGGCTTACGTCTGTCGTCTTGCTCAACCGGAAAGAATTCTTTGCAACGCACTAACAGCATGTCATTCAGTGCCTCCGGCGAAGGATTCTGCATTGTACTGAGGGATTTGGTGACCGCATGCTCAAAACTCTGGAACGCTGGTAACTTGTGCTGCGCGGCACGCAAAAGGTCTTGTCGCGCATACGAATGTTTGGCTGGGGGGGCCGGTTGGTAAACTTTGCACGGGATAGAGCCCTGTAGGCACAGATGCCTGCCTCCTCCCCGCCACTCAAAAAGCTTGATTTTTGGGTCAGGCCACAAAGTTCTCGAGCGTGGATCAGCTGCTCTTCGTCTGGTGATGACAAAGTCAATCTGGGATTCCGCAATATCCGAATAAAAAGTTCTGGATTTCTCTGGATCTCCCCACGTATTCAAGGCCACGAGGTTGTGTGTTTCCAGTATGGCATCAAAAGTTGACGTATCCGGCGGCGGCGAAGGTTTCTGAAGGATACCCGAGCCCACTCTGCCTGGAGACATGCTTAAGGGCGTGTTAAAATCTCCGCAGATAAGAAGTGTGTTTCGCATCGCCATTTGCCCAATGGCATGATTCAATTTGGTCCAAATTTGGTCTCGTTGATGAAGAACTCTGGACGCGGTGGCCGCAGTATTCCAGGGGTGTTGGTATACATTTAAAACATCAACATGGTGATTGGAGAACTCCAGTTTGACGTGTAGAATTCTGCCCGGGATGATGGCCGCATAACGGATACGATCAGATGGAAGAAGTCTGCGAGCGATGAGCACCATAACGCCGCTATTCCTATCTGTCGAGTGTCCCGAGCTAACCACGTACCATGGTCCATTCACGTATATGTGTTCCAGGGACCACCCCGTTTCTTGAATGCAAATCACATCGTACTGGTGTTGTTTCATTTGCAACCAGGACATCAATTCATCGTGTGCATCTGTTGAAAGCATGCCAACATTGTGCGAACAAATGCGTAGCCGATTGGACAAGCTCTGGGGTGAGCGCGTTGGACTGGTTCGCGTTTTCGGTGTCATCGGTGTGGTGGCGATGGCTCCTAGGGACTGGGCAGTATGCCATCTTCCGTTGTACCATGTTCCTCCAGAAATGCCGGCTCTGTGCCTGGCTCTCCGATAAGCTCGCTTGGCAGTCCACCCATGGGTCGTGCCATCTCCATGTTGAGGGACAGCGGTGGCCGCTACTCCCATTTGTTGACACCTGTACACAATGCCCATTACTGGTAATGCGCTGACAGCTCTCCTCAACATTGCCCTCTGGAACAATGTGGAAAAATCTGAGTCGCTCGCTTGAAGTTGGTGTCTGGCCCCTGGCTTCGCCCGGAAGCGCTCATATTGGAGTCTGTGAACAGGCTCCCGCGACAGTGGGGCATCTGTCGCAACCCTCACCCCCGACGCGTCACACTTGACACGTCGTCCGGACTTGGGACCGGACAAGCTCAAGGAATGAAAATCGAAAAGGTCGTTAAAAAGTGTTGTTTCCTGCAAGTGGGGATTGCGTGCTGGTATGTAGGATGCTACGGTGTCGCTCCAGACAGGTTGGAGGGTGGCCTTGAAGGCGTGTGAGCATAATGACCTCACGAGTGAGCCATGGGAATGCATCCATCGACAAGTATGGGACCAAAAGCACATAAGCAATGGCAAGAAGGGACTGCTTGCCCTCGGCCTGCGATGCCATGTCCGTATTTTCCATCGGTGCGTTCTCCATCGAGACCTGTCAGGACTAGGAGCTACTCGTGGCTGGAAGTCATGGTTGTCATTGTGCATTCTGGGCCCCCCTTGGTTATGGCAAGGCTGTTTATCCAAGCACGCAGGGTTCAGCATCGATAACGGATGTACGGTGGGGAGGTCTGGTGTACCAGGTACCTCAGGCATTCGGCGGGCACGCCCCCCTCTTGCTCCCCCTCCGCTGCAATAGGTGCATCGGGTAAGGGCAGTGCACATATTCAATACCCGAAACTGGGCGTCATTGCGCCTTATGAAGGTCTTCAACCAGCTGCTCGAAAAGCAGAGCTGCATTCTGTGACACAAGGCTGGGCTCATTCGAACTGGCGTGCGATGCTGATTTCCCTGTTCGGCGGCTCCTGATGGTGATATGGGCGAGGGTGCACGGCACACACAACGTTTTTTAAAAAGTGCACTTACATCAAAAGCGATGGATATAGAGAGACCGGGGTGCATTCTATCATCGTGTATGCTCATGACCAAGTAGAGGTGGTACCACGTCATCTTTGCCTCATTGGCGATCCGGGAGTGGGATTTGGTGAGCAAATGCCGCTGCCATTCCCGCAGGTTGCCAGGACTGTGTGAGCACAAGAGGCACGTCTCCGTAGTCCGCCAAAGCTTTTGCTCCAGTGCTGGGAGCCAGGTCATCTGCATGGCATCCAGCAGCTGTTCGCTGGTGACCCCAAAACGTGTCGCCGTAGTCTTCGCAAGTTGAATCATCTTGTCCACGAGAAGGTCACTCTCCTCTTCGCCCATCTCCATCTCCTTGCTTGGTGCCGGGTCCACCTTCACGGGAACCTCCTTGCTCCCGGGTGTCGAGGATGACGATGCTTCTGGCTCTGCTCGTTGGGGATCTGCCACCTTGGGCTCCGAGTCCGGGTTGCCAACGGGCTGACCTACGTCGCCCTCCAGGTCCTTCTCGTAGTGGCCCGCCCCCCGTCTCTTAGGCATGGGTGGCTGAGGCGGCACTCGTCTCCACGTACTGCTCGAGCTGGATGATTTGCCGTAGGAGGTCTGTGTGCGGGGCTTCCATGGTGTCCTGTTCTGTCGCCGATTCCAGTGGTTTTGGTACCATTGTCGGAGCTCCTCATATGGCAGCGGCTGCCACTCCTCGATCGGCTCGGGGTATTCCCAGGCAGGTGTCCGTGCCGGGCTGCGAAACCTCGTAGGTGGCCTCGTCGCTGAACGTGCCTTTGCAGCAGGCGATTTCCCCATTGACACGCGTGAAGCTATCACAGGGATGGGCCGGCTTGAGTAGAATCTGCAGAGGGTCCGGTGGTACGCTGTCTGAACTTGGAGAATTGCAGCAATCTCTGGCAGGCAACTGGGCACACATGTGAGCAGGCGTGGCGTGCCTGTTCTTATCCATCGTGGAGTCCGGCTCCGGGGCGCGGTGGGCCGCACATCCCCAGCCTGAGTAATCAAGGGTGCACACTGAGGTACAGCCGCAATGACTGTCTCTGTGTATGGCGGCGGCCACCAAGGTCGGGACTGATGTTTTGATATCTTCCTGCGCGCGCACTGGCGAGTGTGTAGTTGCATGGTATAGCAAAGTGTCGTGAGACTGATCTGCAATCTGTTGACTTGTTTTGACACGGAGGTGCTCAATCCCTGTGAGGCAGCCCACTGTCGCTCTCTTGGCTCCAGCTGGCACGGTACAGGAAAGCAAGGAGTAAGGAGCATCGGCCCATGCTGGTCAGTCCCACGCAGCTGGAGTGCTTGCATCGCCTGGCCTGCTTGGCCCACCCTGTGTCGGAGGAGTTGGCGGTGGCACCATAACCTGATGCGGCACACTGCCTTTTGGGAAGGCATCGAGGGACATCCAGGTGACGTTGGTGTTGGGGTCCCAGACCACGGTGTAGATCCCCTGTTGCAGCACCCCACAGGCTCCCTTGGCCGGGGTAGGTGGCGGCGGTCCGCCTGCTCCCAGCGGCGGTCGGCCTCCTCCGCCCATCCCAGGTGGGTTGTGTGGTGTAGGAGGCGGAGGCCCCGCCGGCATGCACGGTGCAGCCCCCATTGTCTTTGGCAGCACTGCCGGCGCACTCGTTGTCGTCTCCGCGCCAGTCGCCGAGGTTTTGGCCTTTGCTCCCACGCTGGAGTCGTTGGTAGTGCCTCCCACTCCGCTTGCCTTGGCAGCACTGCCGCTGGCCTTTGCCGAGGAATATCGTTCCGCCACAGGGGACCTAGTCCGTGTCCGAGATCTCCGCGAGGTAGGTGTCTCCATGATCTCCCGCATGGTGCCGTCGGCGTCATCGTCCTCCTCATCGATTGGCTCATGCGCCCCCTCGGGGCTGCTTTCGTCCTCCTCTGCCATGGTGGGGGATTCCCCTGTAGCCAAGAGTGGCCGAGGTGGCACAACACACAATCGCGCTCTTTTGAACCAGAGCTTCGAAACGGATTGTATTGAGTAGCTGTGCACGCGGGTGCGGACTGGGCAAATGGGTGGTTAGACAGAAGCAGAGCGCAAGTCTGACTCAAAATACTGGCGTGTATGTCGGCAGCTCTCAGCGGTCTTGCAGTGGTGTTCGTCGCGGGTGTGAGCCTTGGCGGTGTAGTACCTGCGACATCTGGGTACAGGAGACTTCCATGCAAATGCCAATGCGAATAACCAATCAGCATGCTCTTTCGGCACTTAGTATCGGTCGCAGTTCTCGGCTGCCTCCGGTGCAGGAAACGCTTGCGGCTGTGAGCATACATGAACTCAGTCTGAGATTCATTACACACTGCAAGCAGAGTAGCGGTGTCCGCTGACCCCGGCCTGTTCCATGGCGAGTATCGACCCGCTCCCATGTATGGTTCAGAAACGACGCATGATACGAGAAAGGCTGGCGGATGTGCATGGGGTGAAGACAAAGCTCGATGCCACAAGAGGGAGATTGTCATGCAAGCACGCAGCAAGGGCTTGGGTTTTTGCTGTCTGAAAAAGCGACCCTCCATGTCAATGCTATGTGTCTCCCGTACAGCGACATCCATGTGTGCAACTCCATCATATAGGCCAGTATCGCTCTCCTCAGCGCTCAGGGATTTTGCGAGATCCTGCAGCCACAGTGGGTAAAAGCACAAATGTAGAGCGGCCCAACAGCTACTGCATTCCGTAAGCTCGTCCCGCCTGGTCGCGTTCTCCGGCAGTTGATCCGATTGCAGTATTGTGGCGATGTGCTCCATGAACTGGGCTAAGGCTTCTGCTCGATCCGTCCCTCCCCGTTGTGTCAGCACCGCATGGATCGTGGACAGGACAGTGTACGCCGGTATTTGCCGTGCAGTGTTCCTAAGTGCAGAATGGAAATCTTGCTCCGACAGTGCTCGCCCCTCACCGGAAAAGTGGATCCAGCATATTGCTGTCAAGGCATGTAGCGCCCCTTGAACATGAAAAGTGACCATAGGTGCAGTCTGCGTGGGCGGGGCATGTTCGGTGGAAGTCTGTGTGTCTGGTACCGTAGCATCGCGGCAAGTGTGTGATGTTGGTGCCGTAGGTGTGTCTCCCGGGCAGATCAGCGGGATGGGTGCCGCAAGCTGTTCTAGGACGGGAGTGCTGAAAATGTTCGGCACATTGTTCTGTCCTCCCGGGTGCGGTGTCCGCCTACCCGGGTTGTCCCCCACTGCTGTCTTCCCTGGAGCCGCATAAGCCAAGGTAACATAGAGCAAAGATAAACTCACAGCCATTCTCCATGTGTACAATCGAGAGAAATGCATTTGGAGTTTTGCAACCATGGCAAGCAGCTACAGAGCTACTGAGAAAGAAGCGAGGACACTGTGGCCCCCCAAGCAACACACAACAAGAAAAGATTCACTTGAGCCGGGGGCTTTGTGTTGTTGTGTTCAAGCAAACATACGGGAACTTCTCCACGCTCGACCGACCAACAAGTAAGTGACATGCTGCTTCGACGTCATAGTGGTCACAACAAGAGAGTGGTTGTGGTGTGTAGTGGGCGTTCTCGAGCAATTCCTCCAGGTATCGGACTGGGACCCCCTCATGGAATGTCTGGGGATGCTCTGGAGCGTCTCCCATCTCTGGAGCTTCTCCCATATCGTCATCCTCGAGGAAAACGGCGCTGGGCGTCGACAGGCTGGATGACGTGGATCGCTCGTCGATTTGGAGGAGCGTGGACGGCACAAGCTCCGGGACAGCGACCCACCGGACACGCCGGTGACGCTGTATTGGCCTGTGCCAGAAGTATGTCATCGAAGCCCATTTGATGAGCGAACCACACGAAGCCAACATGCAGGGCTTCACGCAGGTCATCTCCAAGGAGGGCCTCCACGTGACGCAGAACCCGGTGGATTGGACCACATGGGAGGAAGCTCTTGCCGAACCAGAGCAGCTGGAACTTGGAGTGAGTGGTTGCACTGGGACCGAGCGAGTTTCCTCAGCCGAACCCGAAGGAAACAACCGCGGCAGCACCGGCGAGCCCAGGGCCAGGACCATCGACAGTGGTGGTGGAGATAGACAAGTCCGACGAGGATTGGGGAGAATGGAGGCCAACCACAGGTTCCAGCTCCAACGACCCCACCACATCCGAAGGATCCCCCTTCTCCATGATGCAGCCGGGGGAATCGGTCAGCCCGACAAATGTACACGGAACACCGCCGGGACCCCGAGCCCAGGCATGCGAAGAGCACTCTCCGGGTGACACCTCCATGGCGGCACCCGCAGGAAGGCCATTCAACACAATGGGCCTTCGCGCTCAGCTCGAGGCGGGAGTCCTCACTGGCCAACAATACGAGGACCGGCGCCGAGCAAGGTCGCAGGACATACAGGCTGCGAGGTCGGTCGCGCCAAGGCTGGCGCCCGATACCTCCGCCACCTCCAGTTCCGCGGCCCGAACGCACGCCCGAAACCCCAATTCCGTGGAGTGGCGCGCCGTCGCCTGCATTCATGGAACTTATCAGGCCGCCGAGATCGCCAAGAGCGCGATCGTTCTCGCTCCCCGTCTTCCTGAAAGGGAGTACGGAGAAGCCCAACCCAATCCTTGCAGCTTTGTCCCAAGACGAGAGAAAAGAGCCTGACACGCGACAGCCACAACAGCAGTTTGAGTTAGTCACTGAAGAAGGAATCATTGGTGACAATGTGCGTAGTGAGCAGCAGAGCTTCAACACTGCAGGGACACGTACCATACATGTCTGACTGTGAGTTTTGCCAGCGCACTAGAGGGACCACTCCAGCGCGAAAGCGCAGCGACCTGAACCCGAGAGAGTTTCAGCTTGACCAGTGCTTCTTTCGCAAGCTTATTTATCGTACTGGTTCATACTATGAGCTTTGCAGTTTGCTTTAGACCTGAGGGAGAGAGCGCAGCAACAGCAGAGCATTTGCATCCCTGGGTCAGGCACTTTGGTGTGAAACAAACCGCATCTGATGCAGAGGGACTCACGAAGAACATCGCAGCGAGGCTCGCTGATCTTTGTGAGGGTGCTGAGGACAGCTTTGCACCTGAAGGGGATTCGTCGGGTGATCGCGCCTGGACTGAAATTGCTCTACCCGTTGCGTTCGACGCAAATCTTCTGCCCGGTGCAAAGGCCCTAGATGGCTTCCTGCCCCCGCCTGAAGCACCGAAGACCAAAGAGCTGTTTCTTCCATATGTTCCAGGTGGAGGTCCTCCCATAGACTGGGTGAGACAACATGGCGTTACCCCCAAGTGCCCAGGATGCCAAGAAGGCGTCAGCTCGAGCAGGCATTCCCAAAAGTGTGTGAAGAGATACCAGAAATGGTTGCGTGATTCCATCGATGATGCTCTGGAGGCACTAGATGAAGGACCAAGGGTCGATCGAAGACCTGAAGAGCTAATTGGAGAAGACCCATACGATGATGACGAGCAAATGAAGCCGAACAAGCGAACACGCTTTGGAGGAGAGGAGGTCCGAGCGTTTGATCCTGAGCAAGCAGGAGTCGGAGACCTAGAGATCCCGGAGATGTCAGTGCCGGACGCTGACTGGAATGTGTCCGAGTACCAGCCGTCCGAGGCTTCCGTGTTGGCGCTGACGATCCCGGCGTGGGGCCGGATGGCTCCCGAGGATCGACTCCCATGGTCGATTGGTCCACATGGTCCGGCAGCAAATTCCGCACCGGTCTCATGGCCTTGCCCTTTTCCTTGGATTTGATCTTCGGCGTCGGCTTCATCAGCACCATAGCGGGTTCCTTGGCTGGAACCTCTGACATCGAAGGATCCGTTTGGAATTCTCTCACCCCAGTGTGGGACGACGGTGCCTCCGCCGCTTCCGTCTCTTCCATAATGTGCTCTATCGAAGGAGATGAGGTCGAAGGGTCCAGCCTTGCCGAATCCCCTTCCGGGTCCAGATCCATCTCGTCCCCTCCAGTGGACTCCACCTCGGCATACGTTGCCTGGAGCTCCTCTCGGAGATTCTGTGGAAGCTCTATGCCGTGCTGCGCGGCGTTGGCCTCCAACAGTATCAATCTCCTGCGTCTCGCCCCCTGGCGCATGCCTTCCAACTCTTGAATGCTCCGTTGCATCGTGGCACTCGGATCCATAGCGGCGGTCTCCTATCTGTCCTACTCTAGGAAAACTTCGCCTCTTTGAGCAATCCAAGCTGCCAGTCTCAACTTCATCAGGGAAATCCTCTAAGCAAGCACGACAGACAACTGTTTCCCTACCATGCTCATGCACAAGACGCTCAACTGCTTGTGTGGTGCTGTTGTCCTGTTGCTTGTGTGAGATAACGCTGCTGTCATTTTCAAATACAAGCCGCTCAACTGCTGGTGTGGTGCTGTTGTCCTGTTGCTTGTGTGAGATAACGTTGTTGTCTTCACTAAAAATCAAGCGTTCATCCCTATCAAGCTCACGAACAACTGGCGTATCCACATGATTGAAAAATTGAAGTTGATCCCTCGCAGAGCCGGAAACGTCACCAACTGTCCTTAGTCTGTCCTTAGCTCCACCTTGGTCCAGGTCAACATGTTCGTGGCTCGTCTGAAGCTCGCAATCAACTACCTCATCAAGACATGAAACATCCAGCAATTCGGGGTTTTCGGGCTCAACACACACTCTCGCAGAGCTGCGATAGTGCTACACCATGCCAAAGAACAAGCAGGAGACTCAATTCTTCTGTATGACTCAATCTATGGAGTCCGTAAAGAAAACTTGTGGGCACAATTGATTAAGGCTGAGCACTACATCGAAGCCATCTTCATCAGAAGTGTTTGTGTCAATCAGCTTTACCCCGCCACTGCTCTCATTAACTCTTTTAATGAGATTATCCGGCATCATGCTGATCCCAGTGAAAACGCAGAACAGCATATCAGTAGTGAAGCACTCACTATTGAGCAAGCTAAGATAATGAAGGTTGCAAGCTGGGGCAGCC